AATAGAAATAAGCAATATACAGATATTGCTTTAAAATGTAAATTATAAATTGTAATAGCAATTTAGCATTCTGTTGATGCAACAGATAAAACAGTAAATAATTAATCAAAATACATGTGTTTAAAAATTGTCCTGATTCAAGAAATGCAATGGGGGGGGTTTTCTTTTCATGTGGAATAAACAGTTATCTCCCATGGTTTAATGGTATATTTTAAAGCATCTTCCCAGGATGCTTTTGAAAAAGAGCTTAATATTTTGCAAAGTCCTTGTTCTGAAATTCTGGGATGGTCTCACATACCTGTAAACATTTCTTTTTAATTTTGCAGCGTGTATACAAGTGGTTATGGCAATGTTTACAGTACTGCATGGTCCAGTCAAATAAATGAGTCAGGAGATACCATGTGAAGACTGTTTTCCTGTCTCTGACATTTGTCAGYTCATTGGACTATGAGATTCACATTTCATGTGTTTTCTCTTTCTGATTACGTAGCCTGTGCTGTCAAAGTTTGGAGTCACCTTTTACTGGTAAGGTCATACAGCACTCAGATAAAGGGAAAAGTTCTGTGGTGCAGAACTTGGGGATGGAAAGTTTGAGGACAACACTTGGGATTATAAGGATCTCAAAACTTAAAAATAAAACAGTAATAAACCTCTCCAGTTAGGATCTAGTAAACTTTTGCAGTACTGTAAGGTTAGCTGGCATGTCCACAGCAGRACTTGTAACTCTGTCAGAGATTCTGAAGATTGCTAAATATTGTTCCTCTTCAAACAGCTACTATGAAGTGATTGCATTTTTAGAAATTGTCTTTTTTTCATTAAATGTGTTCAGACTTGGCAGTAACTAATTACTGAGGTATTGCAAACTGCTTGGGGACAGGCTTGTCTTAGCCTTTCTTTATTCATACTTGGATWTCATGTTCTGATAGAAATTAGTGTGCTCTCTTTTCATTCCAGATGCTATATTTACTGTGTGCATAGAGCATTGCCTTGTGTTTTACAGAAGTCTCATAATGTAATAACTGAAAAGGTATTTTGGTTTGTCTGGGATGTGAAAGCTATGAAATGTTCTCTGAAATTCCATGTTGCTTTGGTGCTTGTTGTTTGCAGTGATTTGACAGAACTATAACCTCAGTGAAACTGGCATTTGTGCWTAGTTGGGTGCATTCCCACTGAGTTTACTGATGTTTTTTTCCTGATCAATGCAATGGTCTCTCCCCCTGGTATGGTCTCACTTGTTTGTCATTGTGATTCCAGAGTAAAGCCTCTAAATTTGCTGTGGCTGTTTAGCACCTCAGTTCTCAGTACATTTACGTGTGGATAGCTGAACCAAGCTGTAGCTGTTGTCTCATGCTGTGCTCAAGAGACAGCTGGGCTTTTTGCTGGGCTTCACAAAGTGTTTTCAAGTGTGATGTGACTCAGCTGTACCACAGCTGATCACGAGAGCTATGCTGTATATGATAGGTTTTCTTCCCAAACTGAGACTTAAACCAATAGGGATTCAATTTCTATGGAAATAGCTGTCATAAAGTCAATTCTGTAGCTCATTGTAGTCTGTAAATTAGGTGGAATAGATGGTGGAAAGCAGGTTTTTTTCTACTTGTTATCTCTTTGCTCTCTGCCTAACTGCTGCTCTTGATTAAGTTTAATCCCAAAGCACATCAGAATTAAAAGACTTTGCATTTTTATAAGTCTTCTGAAGAACAGCTTTTTCTCCCCAGTTCTGTGGTGAACATAAGTTGTTATTCACAGTGGGATAAATGCCTGAAGCAAGGGAAACAATCACGTGTAAGCTGTAAATCTGACTGCAGTGTTGGTGACAATTGTGGGCTSTTCTGGATGTATGCTGAGAGAAAACGTAAGAACACCACATTGGTCTTCATAAGGTTTTAGAAAAATCTGTACAGATTATAGGAGAGCGAGGTAAAAAGTTAACTTACGAGATTTTTTTTTAAATCTAAGTAACAATAAAAGTGAAACATCCATTAAGAAAAAAAAATCTTTAATATGCTATCAGTTAGACAAAACATATTTCTTAGGGATGAAAGCCACAGCTGTACTGGAGATTAGAGTTTTGATTCCTCCAAAATAGTTGGAGCAGTAAGTTTTGCTCCTTGATTCAATTTGACCATTCAAAGTAATTTTCAGGCATTTTCTTTTTGGAATTTGCAATTAAACAAAGTGCCACAAGTGGTCACCATGCTGTCACTGGTAGAGAATGTCATAGGCAAATAGTCACAAAAAGTAACTTTGAATAACCTCACAGTCAAAGCTATGAAAATTGTTTTAAAACTYTTCTGCTTTAAGAAGGAAGGAAGGAGAAGGAACCATTTAGAAAGCCAGCGTCATGTGTCAAGATATATTAGCCTATACTGACTCCCTAAATATGAGTAGTCTGGTACTAAATTACTCTTTTTCTATTTGTCTTTCAGTGTTAAAGACTAAGTCCTTTTCTCACTATTTTGTCCTACATTTCACTTTTCTATTTGATCTGTAATATTTTTATTTGCATGTTAACAGCTGATGTCTGTTATCTAATTTCAGCACCTTTTGGTGACTTTTTACAAACATAGTAATAATAAAATAGTAAGTATTCAAACCATGACTCTCTTGTACCAGAGATAGTTTAAGATATAAAGTACTTCTGAGCTTATTCCCATGTGAAGAAATATAGGAACAGGATCTTTATTAGTTATGGCCTAATTATTTTCATTATGGTTGGTAAAATACCTCAGTCAGTAATTTAATCAACTGCAGTGATTGAGCAAATGTCCTCCCATGTGTTTTTTCTCTTTCTCCCCGCTCAACACACACACACACACACACACACCTGTGTGTTAGACAGAGGGCTACAATGAATGTTGCTGGCAGTGTGGCTGTTAAAATAGCCAACAGCTCTTCCTGCCTTTTTGCTAATTAGAATGAGCCCAGGGAATAAAAGTTTTTCATGCTCTGATCTGTGTCACCTGTAAATGTACTTTCATGCTGCTTATTTTAATAAGAGGCAGTAGCAAGACACAGAATGGTAAGAAAARATGTTCATTTATGCTCTCTCTTAAAAGTCACCTCGAAGTACTTTGGCTGATCCTAAAAATATTTATTAAATAAATTGTTTGGTCCCTTCTTAATCTGTAGAGGGGCAAAGGTACCTGTTTCATTTATCCTATAAAGAAAAAARATAAGGAAGGATCTATTTGCAGCTGGTTTACTACATAATGTCTTAGAGAAGATGGAGCTGAATCCTCTTAGACAGAGTAAGGGTTGAAAGAAGGAGGTTGGGACAACTGATCCTCCTGTGATTCTATGAAATATTCCAAAAGGAGAATGGGGATATTGAGGAAGAACCTTACACTGTGTTTTGACTTTCTCAAAATCCTTACATAGGCTTGTGGAAAAGCTTCTGTAAGCTTTGTTTGTGGCTCTGGAGAAGTGAATAGGGTGCAGCATTTACAGTTAGGGGTGTGGAGACGGTTACATATGGAAAAAGTCAGCAATCATTCAATTTCACTATTGTCTTAATGAATATTTGGATTTATTCTGAGGGGTTTTTTTACTGCTTTTAAAAAATACGTATTTGTATATCTATAGAGAAAGAGCACAAATGTTAGATTTGATCAGATAAGCAGTTTAATGCASGTATTGGTCCAATCACTGTTACTTGAACAAACAGTATCTGTATTTGGAACTAGAAAATTCATGGAGCTTTGGACCAGTAAAATAAGGCTAAATAGGATAGCAGATATRTAATAATGTCCATTTTTTAAACATGTACAAGTGCTATGGACAGTGGACTAGTAAATTCAGACCTCGAGAGGACAAAGCATTTCTGTCAGAACTGGGATTACCTTTCCTATGAATTCAGTTTTATTTAACTTGATTGTTACATGAACGAATTCGGTCTCAAGTGTTTCTTATAAGTGAAGAGATCAGTATGAATTCTGTTTTTCCCCACTTCCATTTGAAGAGTAGAAATACTGGAGATAAGGATCACTTAGGTGCTGACTTCTTTCTGCTGTTTACTTAATGTAGTGATGTGCATACCTTGCCTTGAATCAARTAATATGAGAACGTGAGAGTCAATTAATTTGAAATTAAATTTAAACAAATTCTGTTTTATTGTGATACATACCTATCAGTAGCATTCAAATATATTTTGTAGATCTTGAGAAATTTGAGTTCAAGGTAAGTATTTTTATGGATATAGGTGAAAAATGAAACTTAATCAGTAAGCAGGAAAACATAAGTCAGTGCAATAAAGAACTTTGCATTTGCCTTCCCCTCCTATGTGCCTTTTCCTGCCTTACCTCACGAATTTACAGTTGTTATCGAATACCTTCTCCTGGAAACTAAAATAGTATGCTTAAGAGCTCGATGAGGAACAACATTTCTGCTTAGTGATCAGTTTTAAATGATATATCAGAATCTGGGGATTTTGTGTCAAAGCAGCTAGATATCTTTTCTCAAGCCTGTTCAGAGATTCCATGCCACACTTCATTGAGGGACAGGGATGGGAAAAGCAGAAACCAGTACAATACTCAAGAAATGCTGAGGATTTGCTAATACGTTTCTATCAGGGAAGGGGGGGAAGTCATCTAAGTGTTATGATCTTTGCATATTCCTTAATGTTAAAAAAAAAAAAAAAGGTAAATCGTTTCTTTGCTGTTGAAATGGTTCTGGTGTTTGCAGGAGTCTGCAGCTCTTTGGTGTTCTGTAGCTGTATCTGCTGTACTCTGTGCCTGCTTCAGTGAGATCTCTCTTGTGGGCCCAGCCGTACTACAGAGTTGGACTGTCTGAGTCCACCCTATGTTGAAGAGAAAGATAAATTTATAAAAGGATATAACAGGAAGGAAATCAACCTCCCAGTGTGAATAGTGCCATAATAAATCTATTTCTTAACACCTGTCCATGTATGAGTTTTGAATTTACCTGGATATTTGTAGCTGAAAATCTCAGTGAGGAAAAGACATGATGACTCACCTATGCAATGTTATTTTGCTTTACAGGAAAAGGCTCAGTGCTTTCAGAAGGCTCTTGCTTCTCAAGCAGATAAATCCACGCAGACAGAACTCGTARGCCATGATGTAAGTAGTTGTATCAAGTATTTTTCATCATCTTTATGGGTGTTCAGACTTCCGTCAGATGGTTTGCCTCTGTTGCTGTTGTGTTCATGCATGGATTTGGTGATTCTAAAATACCTTCAGAAACACGAGAAGATAATTACAACTACCTGCTGGCCCACCAATGCCCTGTTAATTTTAGGCTTTACAAAGAGCTGAGAAATTGCATAAATGAATGTGGACAGTACATATTAGCGTATTGTAATTTTTTTCTGTATTTATTTGCACTCTTACTGACAGTTGAATGAGGTTATTATGTTTATAATTGTCATATCCTGCCCAAACAAGATTTGAAATTTGAAAGATAATGGATTTTGCCAAGTGATGTTAAAATTCTGTTTCCCGAAGAGCATCTGTCAGGATTTCTCCTAGAACATGTATTGATAGCGTGTATTCTCATGCAAGAACATAGTCAAGGAAGATTCCTTAACTGTAAGAATACTTTCTTCTAACTGGARGTATTCTGTCTATGAGACACTGCTTGAATATGTGTTAGAGATTCCCTTGTTTACATGAGCCTTTTGAATAACCTTTGATTAAGAATGCTACTATTTTGAACATTTAGCATGGTTGTATTCTGTGATTTGGGCAAAGTCTAACCATAATTCTTACCAAAAACTGTTCTGCAAAGTATGACTGTGGTTGTGCATTGGTATGGATCAACATGCTGATTCAAATCTGTGGAAAGAGCTCTGGAATTAAAGCAGACTTYGACACATTCCTTTCAACATRTTTTGTACCAAYGGAGCTTTAAAGTTTTGTCTTCTGMATTTTTGGATAGTTCTCTGAAGATGGAAACATATAAATTTCATGTTCTAATCTGAAAAGTTTTTTCTGCACTGTTTTCATTTTTGTGGGTTGTTGAATATGAGCCCTTACATTCTACTGGGTCTGTGAAGTAATGTTTGGTGGAATTTACTGAAAACCTGATGTGTGTATATATTACTGGTGAAAAATTCAAAAATATTCAAAAATTCAAAAATTCACACAATATTCAAAAATATTTAGAAACATTTTTGTATGTTGCAGTACTATATCCACTTCTCCAACTAATTAATCTTAACAATATCTTCTTATATCTTAGATGTTAAATAAAGCCTTCCACTGAAAAGGGCAACAGGAACAATGTAAATTTTAGGGATTTTTTGTGTTGTTTTGTTTATTTTTGGGTTATGTGGTTGCTTGTTTTATTTTAAGTAGATGTGAATTAATGCATTTGGTTTTTTTTTCTCCCAAATCAAATGCATGGTACTCATGCTGCAGGGATTCATTCTGTTGGCAGATAATATTTTTTTTCCCTTTTCCAGTCTGTGTTCCCTTGGAGTTTGGAGGGGAGTTAAAAATAGCATTAGAACCTCCTTCCCCACACAGGTACAGTTTTCTGCCTGAGATTTGTGTATTAAATGTCACAATAACAACAATAAGTGAAATAAATCCTTTTCTTTAGCAGAATTCTCTTCAATTAGTGGAACATATTTTTCAGACTTCCCTGGTAAAATGCCTACCTTGTCACGGTTGCAAGAATATATTATCTCATACAGGCCGTTGCAATGCAAGAACAAAAGGAAATGTTGAATATTTTTCCATGAAGCAACACTTCACCTGTATTTATCTGGTACAGAGTACTTGTGAAAATTCTGTTGCRAGGGATTGATTGCAGAGAAATTTGAATTAATATACAGGAATAAGACAAGCTTGCTATMATCACCATGAGGGGAACCCAGTGAAGAGGGATGTGCAAATAAATAATGTTAACACTTTTTGTAATATTGTTAAAACTTTTTGCTCTTTTATTTATCAGATTGTGCAGCTTTTCTGTCAAGGATAGCGATTAATGATTKTTTCAGCTGTGTTTTGTTGAATCCCAGTGGCAATTACATTTATATTCTTTGCTTTTGCATGAGACTTTAAAGAGCAAGTTGTTACTGCAGCAAGTAGTATCTGTACATCATTTTATTCAGGATGTCAGTAAGTGGGTATAACTGCAAGAATATTGTGCTAATATGAAATGCGATTAAACAGAAAAACATAGATCAGAGAATAAAAGATGTATTTTTCACCCCATTAGTCACACATTCTGAGAATAGTGTACATTGAATACTTAAGATCTGGTTTAAGAGGTAAGAGGAAAATTTAAGTTTGTTTCATCATTGCAGGTTTGCTGCTTTAATTAAAAAAAAAGAAATCAAACAAAGAAAAAAAAAACCCCTCACATTTTTATTTTTCCTTAATTCAAATTTAAAAGCTAACAGTAGTGTTTTCAAAGTCCTACCCGGAATTTGTGTGGCATAATTTCGTAAATTTAATTCAAATATTGATATACATAGTGTAATGATATTACTGAGTGTAATAATTCAGAAATGCTTAATACAGTGCCTCTATGAGTGGTTTGRTTTATATTCTTATATGTTCTTTTGTTTCTCTGTGTAATCTAAAAGGTACCTATTTTGCAGTTGAAAAAACAGATTAGCCCCCAAACTAAAACAAGACTTGGGTTTTTTGTCTTCTGAAGATTATCTCCAGTAGTTAAGAGACCACTCTTTAGCCTTGGAGWTCATTTAGATGTGTCATTAAAAGTAAATGGAAGTTCTGACTTTGACTTAGATGAGGAATTAATCCTTTTGTCCTTAGGGTGTACAGTAATAAAAAAAACCTGGAGGCGAATCTATATTTAGGAAGGAATGGGTGAAGAAGGGAGAAATGCGGTGGTTCACAGGGACAAAATGTTCTTTTTTCTTCTGTAGACTGCTCTGACAAAGCTTAAACAGTATTGAGTGAGTGTTTTGGGTAAGTGTTTGAGTGGTTATCAGAATGAAAGTTGTTCCAATGTATTTTATGTTAGAGGCTGTAACGTAATTACAGTCAGAATTGACTGTCAAGATGATCAGTAAAGTTTGGATCATGCAATCTCCTGCAATACTTATAAATTGTTGGATACTACTTCCAATAGATTTCTCTGGGTTTTTTTTCCCATTTGGCACACAGAGATTTTTTCAGCTGAAATTGCTTTGGAGTACTGTTTCAGCAAGCAAGTAGAAGATAAAATCTGTATCAGCCTCTCATAAAGATAAGATAATGTTTYTCATAAAGAACTGTTTGAACTGGAAAGCAAACTGCTTAATGTCTTTTTAATGTTAAAACAGTCTAATACAAAACTTAATTACGGAATTAAAACATAAAGTTCCAAGTAATTTTTGATAAGGATGAAAGAGGGTCTTCCATGATGAGAAATGCYACAGTGTCCTTAAGTGATTAACATGACCACTCTACTACTTGAGCAAATTGAAAGTTAAATACCAATACAAGTACTATATGTGTTCCAGGGAAGACACTAGAAAATACTCAGGGTTTCTTGAAATGCTAATTACTTTCCAGTGCAGCATGTCAAGGGATCTTCATCTTGCGTTAGTCCTAAATTTATTCTGTTCTCCAATATGATGAGAATCRTTTAAAACATGCTCAGAGTCTTGCAGAAAGCCATGTGTGCAACGGATTGATGTTGAGGCTGCTAAATAATAAATTATTAATGTGTCTTCWGTAATCAATGCCACTTTAAACTCCTTCACCTTCCTGTGCTTACAAAGTCTTCTTTTGTTGAGAGACCAAGGAATATTTATTTCATGTGGATCAGGTTGCTGAAATGGACTGGAAGAGGAAGAGATGCAGTGAGCTAGCTCTGGGACTGATTACAAGATCGTATTTAACGGTGCAAATCTAATAATGGCTGCTAGCGAAATAGGTAGTCCAAAGTATCTTTCWGGCATCACACAAGCACTCTGCAGCATTTGTCACTGCTGATTAGTTTTCATTAAAATGTGTCTCAAAACAGAATTAAACAATCACAGGACAATTCTTATTTCTGTCACCAAGGGAAGTACAACTCAGCACCACTTTGTCATTCTTTATCAGCCTTTGAATTAAAAGAGTACTTAATTTTATTCTCCACCAAGAAGAAATTCCTAAAAGCTGACATGATTTCTGCAATGTCTATTCTGTGTTTGCCTTCTGCTGATATTATAGGTTTCATATCTGAGAACTGCTATTCTGTTTGTTCTCTGTCTTTCATACTGAAAGTAAAGCTGATCTAAACAGGTTTTGAAGTGGTCCTAAACTCATTCCCCATTTAATGAGCAATCCTTCCAGTGTAGTGGTCCTTACATTTTGTATGATGCTTCTGAAGTCTCAGACAACAMACCTTTGTAGTGCTGCTCTCAATCTGYTGCAGTTTGGTTTGCACAGTTACAGACAAAAAATACCTTTCTTTGGTGACCACCAGCATAGTGTTTGTAATGGTACTGTGTGATGGATAAGAAGCAGACTGTTACACGTGTACAATCATGAAATATTAAAACCCATAGAGACACAATTTTTAGTGTATTTGTTTTGTAGTCTGCTGTGAATTACCTTGGACAGCATATCTCCCTTAGCCTCTCAAAACCTGTGAATTATCTTCTGCAGAGCCTCTGTGTTTCATTAGGAGAGAGTGGAGGACTCRGAGGTGGATGCTCTAAGTGTTCCTGTGCTGTGCTCCTTTTCCTCCCCAGCAGCCAGCCAGCTCTATGGGTTGTGGATACTGTAAAGGGACTGTTGCATTGTGTCCTCTACTTCAGGAAGGCAGGGGAATAGAATACTGAAGTACTTGAACTTCTTGAACTTTCCAGTCTAATCTAAATATGTTCCTGCCCACAGTATTGTGTAGCTTTTACAGCATGAAGTGAGTTGTGTTTTGCCACCTAAACTGGAAAAATCCATCCTGCTTCTGCCTCYCCTCCTCACCTTGGAGACTGATGCTCATCTGCTATTGTATTTTTTTACTAGGTTATTTTTCTCCATTTRTTTCTTATTTTGTCTCTGACTTTGTTTTCTAATATATACAGTGAAATAATACAGACTTGGGCATAATAAACCTTTCCTTACTGGATTTTTTTWTTAWWWAAAAAWYMAACCAGCCTTTAACCATTTCA